GACGCGGGAGCTCGCACCCAAGGCTGCACCTGCAAAGGTAAGGACCCAAGGCTGGGTCCTTGAAGGGGGCACAGCTGAAAACCGACTCGTGCCTGGGGACCCCGCGCTGCCCGGCATCGGTCCGGGTGCCTCTTTCAGCCACAGAATCAAGGTATCGAAGCGCGTGCTGCAATCTAATCGAACTGGATTACAATCGAATTCGCAATCCGCAGTTTTTACAAATCTCAGCTGATCTTCCTGACGGCACGTCAGCACCAACGCCAGCAAGGTAACAAATGAAGTTCATTATTCCCAGCTCTTTCCCCTGATGGCAGGATGATCTGTGGAAGGGGGAGCAGGGAGGAATACCTGCTGAAAATCCATGTTTTCCTGCCCTTGCAGTGCAGCTGGAATAACTGGGGTGGTGGGGCTGGAATTGCTATAAAACCTGTATCCACAATACTTCCACAGCAGCAAGTTTGTGCCTTTACTTATTTAAGCGTGTTTTTAAAAAAAAAAAAAAAAAAAAAAAAAAAAAAAAAAAAAAATCTAGGCTTTGCTTCCATGAACAAAGTAGGGAGATCCTGGAGCCACAGGAAACAACTAATAATTTTAACATATAGTCACCATATTAATATAATATTGCAAACTACTATTTGCATAAATTTCATCCAATTTTCATACAATTTAACACTGACGTGCAGACCCTCCCTGTCATATCCACGCACAAATATGATGTTCAGATGAGTAACAAGATATTGATGCAGGAACAGGGCATCATTCAGCCCCGTGGGTGCATGCTCCAGCAGGCCAGTTCATCGGCAAGAGTGCAGACCAACCTCCTCTCTCTCTAAGCAAATGCAGCAAGACAGTCAGAGGGCAGGTTCTGTGCATGAAGTCAGGGCTGTTTTTACCGCAAAAAGTCTGAGTTCACTCACCCAGGCAGGGAGGGGAAACATTGCTAAATGACCCCCAGATTTTTCAATCAAAACAGGACTTTGTGCCTATCCACCACTCGGTGCCAGCCGCTTGATGGCCATCGGGGACAGAAACATGTTTGCTCAGAACATGGGAATAACTGGAAAGCCACGAGCTAACAGACGAGAAGCACGATGTGCGCGCACCCAGTCCCAGGATGCAGACGTGAGACGTGGTGCAGAGGTGAGACGTGGTCCACGCTCTTCTCTGTGAGCTCCTTGCCCACCTCCCTGCCAAGGAGAGCATGGCATCGCCCCGTGTCTGCTGCCAGCCCTCTCCCACTGCACACCCCAAAACCAACATGCTGCCACCCACCCGCCTCGCCCGAGCTTCTTCACCCCCTTCCCATGAAACCCTCTTCCCGGGGCGCGTATGGCCAGCCTGACATCGCCGTGCTCCGGAGAGAAGCAGAGCATGAAAACAATCCTTAAGGCTTCTCCTCCTTCCTTCTAAAATGCTCCTATGGCACATTCAGAAAGCAGAACTAATTTGGTTAATTTACAGGGTTGGGGGGAAAAAGCCACATGGAATCTATAACCCGAAAACAAAACTGGCTACTGCATGAGACACCACCACCAAAGCTCACAAGAAGCCAACGCCTCCTTTCCCGAGCTCACTCCAACAGACAAGAAGCAAACAGGATTGTTCAATTTAAAAGGTTCTTGTTAAAGACCTGAGGCATCTATAAACGCGGATAAAAAACATCTTTCCAAGACTTCTCATTTTTAGCCTAAATACATCCATTTAATGAGAATCATGTGAGCAAACCAGACTGGGAACGAGGACTTGAGTCAACCTCCAGCTGACCTGGGGCTAAAACCGCACCAGTGGGATGGTCCCTGGAGCAACGCCGCCTTCCCGGGCTCTTTCTTCCACATTTCACTGCCCAGCAATATTTACTCGCTCGCCAACGGCAACACGCCGGCGCTGCCTCCAGATGCCGGGAGAGGATGCCGAGATGCTCCTCAAAATGCCTGCAAGTCACCCACCACATCAGTCATCTGCAATCCTGCTCGAGAGCCCAAGGCTGTAATGGATTTTCAGATCATTCTTCAAGAAGAATAATTCTCGTCCATGACTGAATACTCCAGGTGTCAGAGCAGGACACCTGCCTGAACTGGAAACACTGGGTTGCTTTCTTTCAAGAACTCCTTCCAAACCCTACCTGGGCTCAGAAACATTTACAAGTGTCATGTTGTTGCTTTTCAAGCAGCACCTGCAGCACAGCGACTGAAGGTGATCACGGCACAACACTCCAGCTGCCAAACGCCGAAACTTCGCGTTGACGCGAGCTCCACTTTGCTCCCAGGACCTGCGGAGGTGAACCGGGGGGCGAGGCATCAGCGACGCGGCCGCCCGGCCCCGTGGGAGAGCCGCCCTCCTGCCTTCCAGCGCTGGAGCTTCCCACGGGAAGATGACTGACACAGACTACAGCAAAACGGAGATGCTGTTTTAGTCTTGGCTTGATGCAAGAATCTCATCTTCTCCAAGAGCCGACGAAGCCTGAAGACCAGATTGCACAGGGACTGGCGTTGCAGCTTCGCGGTGCTGCAGAGCGGCTGCCTGGGTAAGGCCAGCTGTAGGCACGCACCAGTTGATGCCTCGTGCCCTATATATTCGCGTGCCCCATTTCAGAGGCCCAGGTGTGCAAGAGACTAGAAAGCCCCCGAGCTTTGAATACACCCGAAGCCCTGCGTCCCTCTGCTCTCCAGCGCCGCGCCGAAGGGCCCCGGTTTTATCTGACTCTCCGCGCTGACTCTCGGTGTGCACAGTTATTTCCTCTGCTGCTCCAGTTCTCATCCAAGCGTAACAAATTAAAAAGGAGCATATGTCACGATGAAGTACAGCTGATGATTTTCCTTTTTGGAGAGGAGAAAGAGCTAAGTGAGACAAGAGGACAGCGCGCCAGGAGAAAACCCGGGGTCTGGGCTGCTCCTCAGAGCTGTCCCACTCCTGCCTGCCCAGGGGACCCAGGCTCCAGCTCTCCAACACAGCGGCACAGTTCAGCGGGGGAAGTTTCAACACCCACTCGAGAGAGATTTCATCATATTTATTTGCTTTGAAGAAGCCTTCCACCTCTTGCGTTCAGTACAAAGAGAGTATTGCTGTGACAGGTAACCTCCGAAGAACGGCCAGCCTTTACTCCAGTTGTAACTGTACAAAGAAGCCGCTTTGCTAAACGCTTTGTGCCTGTGGGTTTGAGAGAAAGGAAAAGGCACAAGGAAAAAAATAGTGACAAGTTAGGGAGTACGCTAGAATTTAAATTAATCCTTCAATGCCTTTGGCAATTAGAGAATAAACTAAGTGATGAAAAAGAAATAAAAACACTGCATCAGGAAAACTGCATGATACCTTCCCCCAAAAGCAAGATAAGGAACCGGGGAAGAGAGCCGGGAACAGCCCAGGAGTAAGGGGTAGGCAGACACAAACAACCTCCTCGCCATCCACTTCCCAAAGTTCAAAATGGAGTTCTGACAGACGGCAGAACAGCATCAGGGTGGGAGCTGTATTTATGAACAACAAGCAGACCGTGAACCCATCTCGCACCCTTGCTGGGCCCGCAACTCCTGGGCTGCATC